AAAAACATGAAGATAAGAAAAAAAGTCACTGCACACTCATTTTAGGTACTTACACTTTGCACTTAAACTTCGCTTAAGAATAGACTACCTGCTCTCTCCAGTTTAGAGCTGCATGAGTGAGGAATGATGGTTGGGGAAAAAAATTGATAAAATAAATAGTGTTGGGATAGAGAACATCAGTTGGGGGAAAAACTTAAAATAAATGCTGTTAGAATACAGAATGTCAATCCTCTATTTAGCTTGTTTCATAATCAATATTGACTTGATGTTATCTTATGCACAAAGTACACTATATTCTCACCATGACATAAACATCAATCCCCCAGAAGTCCAAGTCACGTTCCCATACCAGTTATAACCTAGTGATCTAGCCTGAGGCCAATGGAAGGCCCATGTGGGACTGTTTGTTTAAGAAAAAGTCTGTGAAGTAAGATTTGAGCAGAAGAAAGCACTTACACGTTTGAATTCGGTCCATTCTCACCCATCACATCAGGTATTACATCTGCCTAAATAAGAGTTACTAACCTGACCAGAAAGACACAGTACCAAGGTGGCTAAAAGGAAGAGAACACACAAACGCAGATGCAAGACCTAGTAAAAATAAAACATGGCACAGCAAACAACCATACAACAAAAATCAAGCCAAATATTGGAAGAAAAGTACTGCTTTCATGGCAGTTGGAAAACAAGTGAACTAGAAGAAAATTCTGAGTGAAGAGAGAAGGTGGGAGGAGCAGAGCTGGGAGCATCCACGGAAGCAGCAGCACGAGGGCAGGGGCAGCTCCTGGCCGAGTCGCAGGAGCAGCCAGCCAGCAGTGGCCCATGCTACCAACCTCTTGGACAAGATAACTGGGCTACTTTGCTTCAGCTCCTGTTAAGAGGGGAAGTAAATCAGGTTAGTATTCAGTCAGGCACTGTATACTTAGAGGTATGATTGTTACCAGTTCAGTCTATTGACCTGCAAATATTCCTATTATGGGAGAGGAGGAAGAAAATACTTTCAGTTAAGGGGATATATCAACATAAACACAGACAAATTCAGTCTGACTGCAACAAAATCCAGTTATAGCTGTCCATTTATTATTGCCTAGAAGACACTGGTTTGCCTCTGGGTACTATCTACCCAGAAGGTGAATATTTAACATTCTATGTTAAAACTTGAGTTCATCAGTTTCAAGCAGTTTGCTGTATTTATTATAAAGCCAGTTTGTATTCATAACTACTTACTGTGATTCATTCAAACTATTTTTTTTTTTTTTTTTTAAGGATAAAATTGATCCTTAATATCCCTTGTGCTCCCTCCTGAACACACCTCCAGGGCAGCAGTCTGGCTTTCTGTCCTTCCCACTCAGCAGTGTCATTCAACTACTCTGACTACGTCTCAGAGATCCTCTTCTTCCGTTTCCACTCCTACTACTGCTCCCGCTGCCTTTGCGACACATAAGCCCTTTCATTCCAGTGCTCTGAAAGCCAGCAAGTCAGTTACTAAACTCAAATTACATTTTTCAAAGTTCTTTTATTGCCCTGCTGTAAGTACAAATCAGCACAGACAAAAATAACAAAAAAGGCTTTATGTCTGGGTCATTATACCTTGGGGTATCCTTGCCAGTGTTTGCAAGCTTTTCTTAACTCAGTTGAACTGCCAAATCAGACTGGGAGAAACACGGTCTTGTTTGCAGTGTGCTCGATGTGGTCCAAGGCTTATCACCTGCTTAACACTGACAATCCATCCCCTCCTTCCAGCCAGGAAGTCTAAGGTTTAGCTCTCGTTTCTTCTGTGATCTAGCAATGAAAAGAATATTTTCAGACTGCAAATATTAATAATAATAAAAAAGCAACTTTTATATTGTTTTTTCCCTGGATGCCACTCATGATGTTCACTTTTTACCAGGTTATGTTATTGCCTTCTTCAACAATCGTAATTGTTCTGACTGATTGTCATCGGAACATCTTAAGCATCTTACATTAAGCAGATACGTTAATCGGGAGTTGAATAAATTATGAATGGCTACAGCTGGACTGTGGGTGGTCTGCCTGGCACTGGGCCAGTCTCTCAGAAGTGTCCAGGCTACATGGAGCTTCCCTAATCTCAACTTTGCCTTACAACCATCCTCTCAACCACCCTCCTTACCACCCCTCTTATAACCATCTTCTCAATCCTCAGGTACACTGAAGAGTGGATGCTCTAAGATACAGTCACTGACCAGCTCTTCCTTTGCAACTCAACACTTCTGCTCGATTTCAATGAAAACGGCTTTAATTGCTGTACAACTCTCCTTCCACATCCACCAAACACCACAGGAGGAGCCACTTGTCACCCACAGTACAGTATTATCGAGTATGTGAAAAGCACAGTGAAACAGATGAGATACACTATTGGGTTAAGAGACCTTGAAATAAGCCAGCAGAGGTAATGTTACTGCATTAGAAACATGGAATTTGTACTTGCTATATATTAAAGCATAAGTCACCACTTCATACCAAGTGCTATGTGGCACAGCGGAAATTATAACCTGAAACACACACCTTTAATTCTCAAATGCAAATATTTAAGCATTCAATTGTCAGAAGACTCTGTTTATAGTCAGTATAATCTACAGCTAAAATACTCCAGCAGCATGGGGTTATCACGCTGCCCAGTCACTTGTGTCACGCTTGATCCGCATTCATTCTTTTAGAAATTTGTCTCCAAAGAAACCCAACCCAAAATTTGTATATACAATATCCCAGAGGTAATTCTTTGAGATTTTTCTTTGTTCTGCACAGTTCCTAAATTAGAAACTTATTTAAGGAAAAAAAGATGTAAATGCAAGAGGCTTTCCTAACAGATAAATAAGAAATAAAAATGCCAAAAAGTAATGCTCTAACCACAAAAAAGAAGAAAGCTACCTGCCAAATCAATACCCAACTTAAAATATGCTACATAACAGAGATGAACAATGATATTAGTAGAGGTCAGCTTTCTTCTCAGACTTCAGTATTTACATTTTGAAAACATGGCAAACTCATTCTTCTCTTGATGTGATCATTTACTGCATTTGTTCAATATTAATACATTTAGGCAATTTAATAAATGGAATATTAGAAAAATACTGAAAGAACAAACAAGCCAATACAGTGGTTATTAATAAGAATAGCTGGGTTGAGTAGTGTTACTGGTTTTTGCTACAGTGGTATGTACGTATGTACATATATGTATGGCCTGACAAAAGCTGCTCTTTAGAGACTGAAGTTGAAGACTGCCTTCAGAAAAAAATTATGTGGAAGACTGGAGCCGAGTGAAAGGAAATATTACTCTATGATTGGTTTAAAAATATATATAAAATTACTTGGTCTAGATCTGTATTCAGTGATAATCTGCAATCTAAACCCCTTCAGATTCAATTTCAAATAAACCACAGCAAAGAAAGGAGTTGTTTTTTGAAGCAGCTGTTAGACCGGATAACATTTCGAAGTTATGACGTGAAACTATCCAGCATACAGCACCCAACCCTGCGCTTATCTCTGTACCACCCACAAGTGTGGATACAGAAAGTAATGACATTGGGCAGGTTTTGCCTTGCACTTAAAATTGTCAGTTTACCTGATATAAAATAGGTGAAAAATATAAAGCTCAGATGAATGTAAGCAGGCAACAGTAAGACCTTTGACAGGTGTGTCAAAGGATACAGAAATCCATTCAGGACAATTGCAGTTCCCTACTGCTAAAGCAAAGAAAGGCTGAAAACCTTCTGTCATGAACTCAGTCTAGAATACTATTCAAATCCATGCAAATCTAAGGGGAAAAAATATGAACCTGGATGTACTTTAATTAAACGTTACCAGATGGCCTGTATCTAGTACACAGGTTTTTGTCAGCCTTTTGTGCTAAGTGAAATTCAGACATGGAAAGCAGAAAATCTACAATCTGCACAGTTCTGTATTTTCTTGGTAGAGAAATATGGAAATGATCCTTAAAAAGTACATGCAAAACATATTTGAAAATTTTCTTATTTAACAATTGTTTCAAAAAGTTACACTGATTTGGACTGTCCAGTCTGACAGCACATTGTGCATTACAAAACCTCAGGAGGTCTGTAAAAGTGAAAGCCTAAGCTAATCATCGTCAAAGCAGGGGAAGGGGAACAAAATTCAGGCCAACTTTATTCTGCCATCTACAAGACATTCCAGCTGTCTGAACTGTTTACAGAGAAGGAATCTAGCTGATATAGATTATCCCAAATGACATATATCATTATTAATTTAAAAATAAATAATTCAATCGCAAAACTATATCATGGGAAGCTATAAGAATTTATAGCGCGTACAGTTCTTTGAAAGAGCTCCCCAGCTAGGCAGTCTGCCATGTGTACCAAATGCATGGTGATTAATCCACAGCCAAAGACAGTAATGGCAAGTTATGCATCTTTTCGAAGTTACAATAGGGCTGCTGCCTGGGCATTAGCTCTCTTTTAGCAGAGAGGCCCTAAAGGTACAAATAGTAAATTAGAAGTAATGTCTCCATGGCTAAAGTTCAGATTAATAGATACTTTCACTACCTAAAAAAACCATTTTTCCTCTAAACATTCTTCTTCACTTCTCTGGCATTATTGCTAGCCAGAACTTTTAAAATAGTTACTAAAATAAGGTCCTGAGGGTCATTTTGTTCAAGTACGAGATCCATAAGCTAAGCCAGACTGCTACAAAATCATAGAACAGTTTGGGTTGGAAGGGACCTTTAAAGGCCATCTGGTCCAACCTCCTGCCATCCTTCACTCTATTTTAGCATGCTTCTGAATATAGTTTTTTCCTAAGAGTAAAAACACCCATAGTGAGATTTTGACTTTCTTTAATTTAAAGATTGTATTACAGAAAAGCCTAAGTAAGGAATCCTTATAAGGATTAACTCTTGACATAATACATTGCCAAGATACAGTGTAGCTGCAAGGGCTCTGTGTGAACCTTCATTAAGTTGCTTTCTTACATACACAGTCGCTGAACAACAAAAATTATATTTATCATTTGTAATAGAAGACAGTGGTATTTAAACAGTCCTTTTACCAGTGTGTTTTGGTTTTCCCAAATTAGAAACACACCATATTAAAACTGTAAAACTCTATTATACAGCAAGTTGATAGAGCGGAATTTCTAAAGATTGCAACTGATGAAACATTAAAATGAAAACTAAGGAGTGTTGATTATGTAGAATGATTTCTCTTTTACTGGCAGGTCAAGTATACTAGAAATGTACAAATATTTTTGATAATCTAATTCCAGATGAACTCAAAACACTGAAGTAACATACACAGGCTAAGAGAATTCAATACTGTTCCAAGGCACTTACTGAATCTCCATGACTAGATGAAAACCAGAACAAATTAGGTCTGACAATTAAACAGTATATAATATAAAAATAACCTTTTGCTTACAATTTACAAAATGTATTACAATCTTTATCTCTGCTAACCTGAAATTCTGGCTGTATGTGTCCAGCAATTTTTGTAAAAAAAACCCAGAAACTATTTTCTAAAACTTCAGGGCAAATAATTTACAAATAAGGTACACAAAAAATTTAGATCATGCAGAGATTTCTTACATCTTCTGTTAATATTTTATGATTGCAACTTTATCAAATTATATACTTACTTGCCCTGTACATATACAAAATAATGCATACATGGTAATCAAACGTTAGCAAAAAGTAGTCCATAAACACAATCTGTCAAAAGTATTACTATATTAACATATGTCTACAAGCAGCGTGTAACAGGGTTAAAAGACATTAAGGCAATAATACTTGAAGTTACAAAATAAATCATATGTAATACTTTCTCCTAAGTGTAATAAGGCAGGTAGATGGCCCCAGCAAAATGTTAAGTTGTACTACTGGAATCCACTGTTGTGAACGATGTTTAAGGTTTTGCATGGGATGTACTGTAAGAGTGTACCATTTGGTAGTTAGATCTACACTGCTCTGTGTTAGTCGCCCCCCAAAAGAAGTGGAATACTATTTTTCTAGTTCTCAGTGGCACTTGAGTTTTCCAGTATAATTTATTGATAGTGCGTCCATTGGTTCTTGGATCATGTCCATTCTGAAGGCGGCCCTCTTGGTCCTCTGGGCTTTCCACAGCGGTTACCAAAACCTAAAGAAAAAAAAACATTTAATACTTCCGTTCCCTTGGACAACGCAGTCTCACAAATGTTGGCAGCAGTCAGAAAGATCATTGTAAGACATGCTCCAGCTCTTACGAAAAAGGTTTATTCTCAGGGCTCAAAAATGACTTTATAGTATTAGGAGTTCTAAAGGCACCATGGCCACAGGAAATACAAATATGAAGAATTTCTGTATAAATATAGTTCCCTATTTAAACCCCTCTTGGAAAGTACTTCTCAGTAAATACAGTATTAAAGCCTTTGTTACAATTTCTTGATTTTTTTCCTTCTCTGTATACCAAAGCAGTTTTCTCAGGTATTATTTCTGAACATTTATTATTGTTATATATATTTTTTTTCACTCTAAAAAACAAAGTGAAGAATAACTGAATCACTCATTCTGGGAAAATCTCTTTCAGCAGCGCTGAAGAGACAAGGCAGGCTCATTTGGCTGGGTTCTGCACCTCAGCAAGCTGGAGGAAGGCAGCAGTAGCAGGTATACAAACTAGTACTGTTAAAGAATCTTCTATTTAAATTATCTAGTGATTATGTTTGGAATGAATTGTAATTACCAGTATCTGTTACTTCTGCAGGAAATTCCGAAATTTGACCTCTGGTGTCAGTGGAACCAGAAAAAGAAATCTGAGGTAAAACGTCAGTTGGTGTTTTGTTGCTTTTTTCAGGACGATCTGGAAAATACACACCCCCTTACTGTAACACTCATTTAGTCAGCGCTGTGTGAACACTGTTTTTAAGTATAGCTCAGAACACAACTTACATCAAATATTCTTTACAACAATAAAGATTTAAAAGCCAATTTCTCATTTCTGAAAAAAACAGACTTCAAAATTGTTTATGAAGCAGATGTACAATGACAGTGACACATTCCTGTTCACCAAATATGGATTATTGCTGTTTTTAAAGTTTGTATGGATATTTAAAATCCCATGTAGCACTTATTTATAGCAAAAGCTCACAGTACCACTTAATACGTCAATATAAATGCATCTGTTCATGTTCTTTCTAAAGTAAGGGTGCTTAAGAAGACACGGTAAGTAACTGTGTTGCGTTACTTGTATAATCATCCTATTAGTAAAGCTGTAATACTTCTGAAAACTAATTTATTTGAAGAAATCTACCATGTATTTAAAGTGCAGCTCCAAATGGACTGTATAAGCCCATTCAAGCAGATGCAGAAGAGACATAGCAGACATAAGCTTACAGCAGAAGCACGTCGCTGCAAAGTTAAACATCAGCTGGTAGACTACACTTCTTACCAAAGCCTTTTCAGAAGATCAAAAATTAAAGACTTTAATATGCAACATACGTACATATACATACACACACATCATCGCTGAACTTATTTCAGGTTTAGTCCTGTCTTTACGAAATTGAAGAAAATAATTCACTACCTTTTACAATTTCTATTGCAGCAACATGGGAAGGTACTAATTAAGCTGAACAAAATACTGTTTTAACATGCATTTAGATTCAGTATTTTTGGTCTTAATTTTTTTAGCATACCCAAAGCTTAACATTAATTTTTAAATTAGACTTGTAACTTGCTTCCTCAGAAACCCTTATAAGCTTTAAAAACAGCAGACCTTTTCAGAAATGCCAGTGTTTTGACAATATACTTAGATATTTTCAAAGCAAAAGCCAAGTTCGGACAAATTTTTTTCAGTAGGAAAGTAAGAGATGCACTTGCTGCAAGACTACTGTAATTTTTAGAAATTTGCCAATGAAATTAAAGTATCATGGGTTGGAAGTAGCTTTTGAAGGTATCATATGTATACCTTTATTTCATGGTTAGATCATGAAATATTTGTGAATTTCCAGTAGTTTCTAATCTTTAATAAAAATATTCCCCAAACAAAAACAATTTTTCAGTTCAAATGGTTAGGTTACTTGAACTTTCTACTCTTATGGGGTTACTGGGCAGATTTAATAAGTGGAAAAAACCATTCCTTTTCCTATTTAAAAAAAGAAAAATATTTTTGATCACTTACCAGGTAGTACAGGTGAAGTTGTTTTCAAGCCCTGTTAATGAGAAATTTTAAAAATAATTTTATAAAATGCTTCCAAAATATTAAAAGAACACCAGAAATTCAAGATGATGAAAACATCTTCAAAAAAATACAACATCTGTGGAAGTATCTACTTGCTCCTACATTTCCAACTTGCTAGAACACTGGCAAAAAAAAAATGCTACAGTAGTTAAGAACTTACTATAAGAATGTTACATAATATTTAATAAAAAGTTAGAACCGTCACATTACAAATTATTTGCACACTTTGGTAGTTTAATTGAGTCCCTGAAAATTCACATCTATCTTTTTTGTTAAATTTTTAAGTGCTGTGTAAAGGTGGCTGTAAAGTGTTTTGGGGGTGCATGAAAAAAAGGCACAAATGTAAAGAGGATTTTTCCACTTTTGAAGTTTTGCGAGCTGTTTACACTGGATGACTTTGAGCTACTACTAGCCTAATGTGAGAAGTGAAATGTGATGGGTAGAAAAGAATTTGTTTAAAACAAATATGGATATAAGGAAAAACTTTATCAGGCAGTGAAACAGGTTGCTCAAAGAGGAAATGAAGTCTCCGTCTCTGGAGGTTTTCAAGACCCAGCTGGATAAAGCCCTGAGCAGCCTGGTCTGAGTTCCTGCTTCATGCAGCAGGTTAGACTAGAGACTGCAATTCTCCTCCAGCTTGAATTAGCTTATGATTGACTAAAAGCAGACAGCAGCAGTCTGTCCATAAAAGCAGCATATTTACACTCTTAAAACCATAATTTAAGGTATATTAAGGATGACTTTTGAAGGTATTACTGAACTTAAGAAAACGATCTCGTTTTCTTAACACATCAGTTCAGCAGCTCAGGCAGAGGACAAACTGCTAGCTGTAGATGATCAACAGCTGTAACTTTTCACAAGTATGTTATTTGCTTTTTGCTGTAGCTCCCAACTGAACTAAAAATGACTGATTAGTACAGACTTGTCTCCTATACTTACTGAAGAGACTGTTTGTTCAGGGAGATGCTGATCACGCACTATGCTCCATTCAGACTGTGCAATCATAACTGGCTTCGGCAAGGGTGTGCCTAGGAAAAATTAAATCAAACTCAACATACTTGAGTTCTCTGCATGATGCAGCATTAGAACACAGCATTAGAAAAGTTCTATAAAGCAACTTTTTTTTTTTTAATTAAATGCTTGTAAAAACATCAATCTAAGTTAAGAGCTTTCAAGATAAGGGAAGACTCCACAACATAACTCAAAACACAAGACTGCAGTGTTTGCATTGTGGATGTTCATTTGCTTCATTTGGGGGTTCCTAACCAATAAAAGAATTAGCTTCTTTTTCAAATTCTTTTAAAAGTTTGTTATACCAGCTGCGCTGTAATAGTAGATCTGAAAAAGAAATAGTAAGTAAAGAAAACACACAAGTCAGGGCAGCCACACCTATCCTTTACTGACACCATGCAGAAACACAATCAAAATTGAAGTGGTTTTAGTGATTACAGTCACAAAGAAATTTTTTTGTTAAAAAAAATTGTTTTAGGAAAAAAAGTTTTGTTTTTTGTGTTCTCACCCAAAAGAAGCCAATCTATAATATCCAAAGAAAGGGTCACTTCAACTCTGAACTACCTATGCTTATGATGCTCAAGGGACATATTTACAAAACTTCAATGTTTTTATGCTGAAAATACCTGTATTAACTACTTTGGTCAAAAATTTTGGAAAGTTTCAAAAGGCGAGAGCCTCAGTAAATAACTACACCACACTAGGTTTTTTGGAAGATACCAAACATGAACCTAATTTATCACTTGATTTCAATTTTTTTTTTTTCCCCCAATTCTTCTATTACTGGCTTGATGAATGAAATATGAAGTTGTAAACACATCATTGTAGGCATCAGCTTTTCTCTTTCAGTTACCCTTTTGATACAGGCAAAGAGTAAACTATGTTAAACAAATAAACTGGGCTTGTTCACTAGATGGAGTGCGGTATAAAATTTCACCATCCTTCCTTTGCCCAGGAAAGGAGAATCAGATAAGCACTGTTCATGTGTTTTCCCATTCCCTACCTGGGAGCAGTAGGAAACTACCTAAAATAGTTGGGGAATCCCCTAACTGTATTGCATTTCCCCACTGTATCTCATTTCCATACCCTTCAGGTTGAAAACCAGCCCCACTAAAATCAATATTGAACTCTCCAATATAATTAAATATCATATAACAGCATGCTTCGTCAGAAAATGAGAAATAATGTGACTGTGTTCACGGCCTTGTGGAAGTTAAATCTCAAAATAAGCCATTGTGCATGCTAGATCTCATGCCATTTTACAATTTGCTCCAGCACTTTAGAATTAACCAAAAAGCACGGGCACTCAAATACAATACTGAAATGCATTTCACATTCCCAATTACCACAAAACATTAAAAACTCACTCTGTTCACTTGCTAGTACAAATGATTCTGGTGTTCTTTCTGGGAGTGGGGGAGAGGAATCTTCACTAGTATCAGCATCTAAATCAAATATGACATTTAGAGAAGTTAAAAAACACACTTAAGTTTTCCTCCTAGATTTTTAGAAGTTGATCTTTTGATACATGATATTATCCTAAACTTGGTATGAAATTTAAAGCAGAAGGAAAATTTGCTCTAAATGTTATAAACCATTTTGTTTTACCATACTAACAATGCTATCTTCACATTAAGAGGTTAAGAACCAGTTTGTATGTGATGGAAGAAAGAAAAGCAGAATACGTTTTCAGTCTAAATCCTTTGGAGAAAAAAAACCCTCAGCAACTCCAATCAATACTTTTTCTTCATTCTTTCAGCAACAGAATATAAGCAGAATTAACAGTCTGCACTGGAGGGGTATAATTTGTTTGAACAATCTGTAATTTGATTGCACTTCATGACATGACTATCTGCAGCCACTGCAAGTAAGAGTTAAGCTCAGCACAACACATTGGCTCCTTGAACTCCTCTGCAGATACTGGTAACTACATGCAGTTTGTGCCTACCAACCAAACCACTGATGAAGCTCCCAAACCATGGTAAGAAGCACGTTGAAAATATGTGTAAGACAGTAATTCACTGCTGATGAGCAGTGATTTTTATTTTTTCGTAAGTGGTTCTAGCCACACTTACATTTGAAGTCAATACAGCACAGCTAGATTGCACAGGTGCAAGGACATTAAGCAACGTTGCTTTTCGGGACTGCATCGTGTGACAGTAAGTTCTAGGGAAGCTCCACATTAACCATTTCTCTGAAGCCCAAAGTCTCAGTTTTGCTTCCCAAGTCCATCTTGGGGCCCACGCAGGCTGGCTCCCACGTCATCGATATTAACTAGTTAAACAGTCTACTGCAAGGTGTACTAGCCAGAAAGGTAAATGGGTGCCAGAGGAGATGGCTACTGTTGTTGCCAGTAACACATCCTGTCCCCAGTCTGTTCCCTCTCGCCTCTCAGGAACGCACTAATGCAAGCTGTTCTGGCAGCAAAAGCCCCACTCCTGCCTGCTAAGGAATGTGGAGTAGAAATTAAAGGTTTAAGACAATTCAAAGTAGCTGCTGCCGTAAGTCTCATCTGACAACTGTATTCTACACAGGATTCATAAAAAGATCAAGACGTGTTCTAACAAAGCCATGAGGCTTGCCCTGCCAGCATGCCAGCAGCAGGGACAGAACTCCATGTTTTACAAGACACAGTGTTCAATGTGAGAGACTTGTTCCATCTAGAGTTTACTACGCAGCACAAGAAAACCTTAATTTATTGAAATAGCCTCTATAAAAATCCACAAATAAAGTCACTATGGAGTATACACTAACTGAAAGGGTTTTTTTGGGGTTTTGGTTTTGTTGTTGCTGTTTTGTTTATTTTTAACCTCAGGGTACAACTATTTTTCACTTCATTTGAATTAAAAAGAGGATTTAATTATGTGGTAAGATCATGCACACCAACAGTTATGGTTACGCAACTAGGGTGCTAGTAAGTTCACAGGCAAGCTTCATTGATGATTGTACCCACGTGCCCAGTTTCAGACAGAAGAGTCCTGAACAAGTATGAAAATGAAAAAGCCACTGTAAAACATAAAGTAGGAGCACTCGTGCAAAGCCAGTGATATATTCTTGAGCCCAAGATGGATTACAAAACCTGCAACCTGAACATAAAGTGGGAAGTGTTCACGCTCATACCAAAGGGAACAGATACACCCTCAATAACAAGAGATAAACTATTAAAAGAAAAAAAATTAAGCCATTCCTGTGAAATCAGCAACATACCAGCAGCACAAAGGCTGTACTTATTTCAGGATGTTTCTCATATGCAGTTACATGAAACAAATTCTTGAGTAACATTTCTCCCATTCTTTATTGTATTTATGACATATCATTTATTTTATTTGCATGTTCTTACACCATCTACATGAAGAGATGTGTAGAGAGGTAGCAATTTTCTAACAGTGATAAACAATGATTGCCCTGGGAAAGAAGGAAAAAAGCCTGGCTAAAAGCAGTGTTGGAAAAATACTGTAGCATGTAAATCTACCAAAAAGAAATCCACAGAGGACTGCTTGGTATAAACGTTGAAGTAACTATGACAAAGGGCTTTGTCTTCTATGCAGAGCATTTTTAAAGTGTCGCAGGGTTAAAAACATACAGGTGCGTTCAAGTATTGTTTCGTGCATATACATAATATCACAAAATCTATAGAAAGAGATTGTTTTTAAAGCTGCAAAATAGTTCACGTTTCTGAATCTATGACTTACGGTGAAAACTTAGCTCACAAAGCAAGTATTTTCAGTTCAGCTGGTTCTGTATCTTGCATCATACACTGAGACCCGTATCACCTCAGTAAGTCTCGTAGCCTGCAGACGCCCGAGGCAAGGCCACCACTGTAAGGAGCTCCTAGCACAAAAGTCTGATCTAAATACAGAAGCTCATGTTCTCCTTTCAGCCCCACAGCCTTACTATGCACTTTGTTGAGCTTTGCACAGGCAGCTACCAAGGCCTAATTTGTTCTTCCCAGCTACTATGTCCTCCATCTAAGTGTGCCAGCCAGATTGAAATCTGAATCTGCACGTTTTAGGACACTTTTGCTTTCGACAAATAATGGAACTTTTTGCTGAAGCAGTCTTGCAAACTTTCCTTGCTCAAAAAATTCCAAAAAGCAGTAGAAGATTAAAAGCAACTGAATAATTTTCAAAGCACTACTAAAGCAGAACTTGGATTTTTAGATGAATAGCAATATTGCTTTGTCTTCCATGGCCACGTACAGCAGAAGAGGAAAATAGGGCTAAATATTTACAATGCTATTAAAAGGCAGCAGCCAAATCATGAACAACTTCAAAGACTGATACACTGAAAGAGTTTACAACTACACTTTTCGGACCAGCACATCAACCAGTAAGCATGAAGCCTGTTTAAAATATTTCGACTACCTAAAAATGCCATTATTATAGACACTTCCATGAAATCAGACGCGGAATAAAAAACACGCCAACCAATAACACAGACATCTGCAATTAAGAATTCATTCATACCTCACAGTAAAGCTTTTGAAACAGCTTATAAGGGTCTGTAGTACCTCGTAGCAGACATAGCTCACACGCAAACTGAGAACTGGGAGGAAAAAAGTTGTGCCCTTTCTGAAGTTGCCATACTGCACTGCTTAAATTTACATTTAGAAAATTGCACTGTAAAGAAATTCATGTTGTCCAACTCTATAGATGCAACCAGGTTAAAGAGTAGCACTTCTGAACCACAATAAAACCTACCTTTGCCATCTTCAGAACATGTTACAGTTGTTAAGTCTTGCCTAGCAATAGACATTGGCAATACTTTTCTGGCAGAAATGTTTTCAGTGTTAGTGGCAGCAGAAACTGTGGCACTTGCGGTTGAAACATTAGATGCGCTTTTGCTCATGGCTTCGTCAAAGTTCATCTCATCTGTGTCAGAATCATCTGAATGAAGAGGATTAGTAAAACAGAGGGGTGCTCGAACAGAAATAGTAGTATGATCATTATTATCACTGGAAGGATGTTCAACTGTCGTGTTTGATACCAGAGAGAGAGTTTTAACACCATGACAGAAGATGTCTGAAGACACGTCTTCAGACACTGACGTACGCAGTGCATTTTCAGGCCCATGAAGTGACCACGTGGCGTGTCCCTTTTCTGTCAGAGGCAGACGATCTGGTCTTGGTGGAATATCACAAGCCTGCTGACTCTGCAGACTTCCTGGTGAAGGTATTATTAAGGCTGTGTTAGACTGTGGCACGCTGCATTCCATACATGAGTTTTGAGAAGCATCTACAAATGAATCCCCTGAAATCTGTTCCTGTGGCTTAAAGCTCTTATCAGTTACACAGGATGACACAGGCTTAATTTTAATTGCATGTCCCCTGTTCAACAGGGAGTTCCCATCAAAGCTTCGTGGTCCCTCCTGAAGAGGTACCTTCTTGATCTCAAAACTTAAGTTTCGCTCCAGCCTTTTCTCTGCACGTTCACTGGGTTCATTCTTCCCTGAATGTTCTGTTGACTTATTATAATTCTCGTTGAGGTCTGTTGAATGCTCTGATGAAACCATGTGCAAAACTGGCTTTGGATGGTATCTGTCATTGTCCTGCCACACAGTAGTGACTGTTGGATAAGCTGATGGGGGAGATGGTGTTAGGATTGGTGGTACTGGCTGAGGCTCCGGAGGCTGCAAAATTTCTTCTTTAGCATCTCCTTCTACAAGGCAGCTGCAAAAAAACCCAAAACACAGTTGTGTAAGTTCTCTGTATTTTGACAAAATTTTAGATATCTATTCATCTATCTCTGCAGCAGTAATGCTTTCATACCAATATTGAACTCCAAGCAGCACTTCTACTGCATACAGACAATGGTTATAAAATATGACTAATGGGGTAGGCAAGAACTAAGTCACCACACTCAAAATGTCTTCCAGAATATCAGACACATGCATTCAGGCCACAACTAATCCTCACTGATAGTTCAAAGATTGCTCACATCCTTTCCCAGCAATATTTTTTCAGATTCTCTAAGGCCCTCTTGTGGCAGGATTTCAGTTCTTCCTTGCTTTTTTCTTCCCTAAGTGTCTCAGAGTAACTTGACATAGGCAATTCAATTTTCAGTAAAGTCAAGAAAAATTTCTTCTAAAAAAAAAAAAATTTAAAAGTCTGCTTAATACCAAATATCTTCCTTTATTTTTATTTTTCTGCACATGTCCAGGAGGATTTTGTTTTTATATTTGTGTATTTAATAGTTTTTCCATAGTTGTAACGCTAATGATGCAGATCAAATTTAGCTGATATAAGGTGCACACTGTATAAAAACTATTCACAGCAGAATATATGATCCAAGTAACAGTGCACATCAGCAAGCTCACAGCACTTACTATTACAGTTCATCTTAAGCTATTTAAAAAGAGAAGCTCTTCAAGTATATGGTCAATTTACTTTCAGATTAGATGCAGAATATTTGACTTCAAACATTTGGTACAAGTCACTAAGGTCTTGCCTGCAAATAAGGAATTAGGCATTTTCATTCAGAGCCTTTAAAAGTATTTCATTATGTAAGGCTAGTAACAAATGTGTGACAAGAACAGAAAAACGATGAAATAGTTTAATGGAAAAATACTTTCAATCCAAGCAGATAAATCAAAGCACAGTGGACTACAGTTTGCAAAGGAGTGTGATTTGGCCACACGCTTGAGCTGCAAAACCAGACCATTTTATGTACAAAGCTCAGATCACATCCTGCTGTTGGCACAGACGTCCTTCATGGGGAAGTAATAAACCCTTTATACCAGCCAGCACATAATGTCCAAGACACTGATATTTAGAAGACAGATGCTCCAATCCCCCCATGTTGAGGGAACAGACGGTTCCCAGGGTCACAGCGTCTTTACTGAGTCGTTCAGGTGGTCCCAGCACTGGAATAACCTTGAACAAGCAGGAGTCAGCCAAATCCTCATACACCTTTAGTTTTTGGGGATAATCTGTGTCAGAGGCACCATCAATGACCCAAACCCAGCTCTGCAGTAGACTTGGAACCTTCCCTTGGAGATAAGGTTACAGCAGGACATTCTCTTCCGTTGAAAATTAAGTCACTGGTAGACCTTGGATTGTACCTTCCTTTCACGATCCAACATCCTGAAGAACCGAGTCTATTCAGAGGAGTATTGACAGTACTCTTGTGAAACAGACTTTTATTTGCAAATAAATTCGAGGCTGCACACCAAAAGCCAGAAAACAGAGGCTTCCAAAAAAGCAAAAACTCTTACTACCTTGTGACAGCATTCTCCTGCCGCATTTGTCTAAAACCTGGGAGATCACAGCATATCTGGCAGGTTTGGAAGAATGTGTACCAGTATTAACTCTCATGTTGCAAGGACCAGCAGGATGATATGCAGATTATATTCTCCAGGCCCTGTGCTTTCAGGCTATTTAAATGAAACTTCCATGATAGCAGTAGTAGGTAATCATATATTAATAACTCAGATTAAAAATGAGAATATATTTGCAATTTACAGACTTGACAGATTCTGTGAAGGAAAAAGAAATCTCATAATGAGCTATCAGCTACATAACGAAGCCACACCTTCAGAGCTTGTAGGTGAAGTCTGGCATCCAAATACAGGTTGCCATTCAACTTGGAACAGTTAGAAAGCATCCAACTCTACCACTATCCATCTTGTTCCTACAAACCTTTCACAGAGGAAGCCTAGTCTGAAGCCAGGAGTCTAAACACAGGCCTAATAAATTTCAGCAACTGCAGGGGAGCTCCAGGAAATCTCAGATGGGTTATCACAGTCAGACACACATGTAATATGATCAGAAATAAGAGGCATGTCTTTCACATCCTTTGTAATCAGACAATTACCTAGACAGAGAAAGGCTGTCACTACTGACAAAACATTAACACTGTTAAAAAACCAAAAGACAAGACCAAAGAAAAGGCTTGCTCTTAATACCATATCCTGCTGACTATAAAGCATCCATCAGTGGGCAAGGGAAGAGCTACATTATGTCGTCTGCCTGGACTTCTGTAAGGCCTTTGACACAGTCTCCCACAACATCCTTCTCTCTAAATTGGAGACATATGAATTTGGTGGGTGGACTGTTCGGTGGATGAGGAATTGGTTGGATGGTTGCATCCAGAGGGTAGTGGTCAACGGTTCAATGTCCAGATGGAGACTGGTGATGAGCGGCATCCCTCAGGGGTCCGTTACTGGGACCAGGACTGTTTAATATCTTCATCAGTGACAGACAGTGGGATCGAGTGCACCCTCAGCAAATTTGCAGACGACAGCAAGCTGAGTGCTGCAGTTGGCACGCCTGAGGGACGGGATGCCATCCAGAGGGACCTGGACAAGCTTGAGGAACAGGCCTGTGTGAACCTTGTAAGGTTCAACAAGGCCAAGTGCAGCGTCTTGCACCTGGTTGGGGCAACTCCCACTACCAGTACAGGCCGGGGAACAAAGGTATTGAGAGCAGTCCTGCCAAGAAAGGCTTGTGGGTATTGGTGGATGAAAAGCTGGACAGGAGCTGGCATGGCCCAGAAGGTCAGCCATATCCTGGGCTGCATCAAAAGCAGCATGGCCAGCAGGTCGAGGGAGGGGATTCTGTCCCTCTACTCCACTCTGCTGAGACCCCACCTAGAGCCCTGCATCCAGCTCTGGAGCCCTCAGCACAGGAAAGACATGGACCTGTTGGAGCAGGTCCAGAGGAGGCCACAAAACTATCAGAGGGATGGAACAGCTCTGCTGGGAGGACAGGCTGCGAGAGTTGGGGTTGTTCAGCCTGGAGAAGAGAAGGCTCCAGGGAGACCTTATGGCAGCCTTCCAGTACTTAAAGGGGGCACATAAGGATGGGGACAGACTTTTTAGCAGGGCCTGTTGCGACAGGACAAGGGGCAATGGTTTTGAACTAAAAGAGGGTAGATTTCGTCTAGATCTAAGGAATAAGTGTTTCACCATGATGTTGGGATCACCCTGCAAGGGCTCGACCTTAAGGAGAAGGAGCTGTGGCATTGAGAACCTGGTAAACAGCTGGACATCTGCACGGCTCACCCTTGAGGAGAAGCAGCTGTGGTAAACAACTAAGAGGAAGCAAAGGAGCACGAGGACACACAGAGGCGACCAATCCTGCCTCTGTGAGAGTCGCGTGGACTTAAAGCAATAGCCAACTGGGTAGCACTTTTAGGCGTGTGAACAGGCTGTATTTGTATAAAAAGCAAGCTTTACTAACAATAAAGGTCTTTGGCCTGAATCCCTGACAGAGTCCGTGCCTTATTATTCCACACCATGAGGGTAGTGAAATACTGGCCAGGTTGCTCAGAGAGGTGGTAGATGCCCATCCCTGCAAACAGTCAAAGTCAGGTTGGACGGGGCTCTGACCAGCCTGATCGAGTTGAAGATGTCCCTGCTCATTGCAGGAGGCTGAACTAGATGGTCTTTAAAGGTCCCTTATAACCCAAACCAGTCTATGATGCTGTGATAAAACATTAAAACTTTAAAATAGACATTCTGAAATTTGGTAAATCAATCACTTCACTTTGAAGACTGACAAAGGCTAGCATTGGTCTCCTGCACTTGTTGATTAAGGCATTTGGCTTTCCAAGGCAAGTCTCCATCTTCCTTTTCTTGCCCCTATTAAAGTCTGAAAAAGCCTTTTTACTTGAAAGAATATGGGCTCGTAACATAGCTCTAGGGCCAAAGAATCTTCTACCTTCTCAGCCAACATTTAGAAAGTATTAATTAAAAACAAGTAGAAAGGGTTATAAGAAAAATGCAGAGTATCAAGTTATACTCCGTATGCCTTCAGTATTGTATTATCCAGCAATCCATGGTCAGCATCTCATACTGCTCACATATGCCAGCCTATCTTTGTCAGACAGCAAGAGAGGAAGGAAGAATGATTCAGAAGTCTTTCAGAAGTCTTAATCATATTTTCAAAAAGGTTACTGGAGAGTGTAGCGGACAAATAAAGAACCCCGACAGCTACAAAATTTAATTGCTACCTCTTCCCCAAGGGCATTATTTAAGTGAAGCACAAAAAAGCATTAAGTATCAAACACAGTTTCCACTACACTGGAATAAAGCCAACAGCAGGCTTGCTTTTTAAGAGTTATAGGGCTAGAGACCACACAATTGCACAAGAATTCCTGAGTGTCTATTCACGACTGAAAGGCATCAGACAGGCTCTCATTACTTGTCTGCATGTTGTATCACAAATAAAATTGAAGTAATAGTATTATCTCCCCTAGTTGGAAACAAGGCCTTAAATGGACTTAGCCAGTGCAAAGCCTTGAGACTATCATGACCTATGTAGAAGAAATTTTAAAAAAATAAAATAAAATAGGGGACTGCCTCACAATTGAATCTTCTATGGAACTGAAAGCATACCTGTCTTGGGACAAACTACAGCATGAGTTTCATCCTTGTGATTTCATTAGTACCAAGCCACAGCAGTATGGGATGAAGAACTAAAATCCTTATACAAGGGATTCCAAACTGAAGAAATTGTTTGGATTTTCAGCTTATGAAAATCCCTACCCACTGAAGTACTGCAAGCTCCCCAACCTCTAAATTATCTTTAAAAGTTACTATATCTTTGTACCTGGAAGACCCCAGATCCCCTTGCAGTTCTCCCAGGTGCTCCCTTCCATTCCCTGCCTGTCTGACTCCTGCCACAAAGGGCTGGGTCTCAAATTCTTTCTCTTCCTCCCCTCCCTGCAT